CAACAACTGATGTTCTTAAACCCTGCTGACTGCCATTGGCGATTGCCAAATAAACGGATCACAAGATGTAACAAAATAGATCTTATTATTAATTTATTACCAAACAGAAAGCAATAAACTTGCGGAAAAGATGGTATACCGCAAACATGAGGTGCAAAAATTTGTACTCTATATCTGCATTTCGACAATTAATGTCTCTTCAGTGATGTTAGGAATCGAAACGGTATTTGGAAGGCCATATAATTTACTTCAATTAAGGATAGACTCTTGAATTTTTAAAGAGTCAAAATAGGTTGAACGGATCATATAAACCCGAAGGCAAATATAATACAAGCCCAAACGAAAAAATATAAACAAGTTTAAATTGAAAACAACGTTCAAACCTATGATTGCGTGGGATAAAAACCGCAATTTTTATACGTTTGCATGCAAAACAAATTTCTTGGTAGAGGGGTCTAAATACAGCACAAACAACATTTTCCAAAAGACCAAATGAGTGAAAAAGTATATTTTAACAAAACGCATTTGACTAGCAGGTCGAACAACTAATGTTCTTAAACCCTGCTTACTGCCATTGGCGATTGCCAAATAAACGGATCACAAGATTTAACAAAATAGATCTTATTATTAATTTATTACCAAACAGAAAACAATAAACTTGCGGAAAAGATGGTATACCGCAAACATGAGGTTCAAAAATTTGTACACCATATCTGCATTTCGACAATTAATGTCTTTTCAGTGATGTTAGGAATCGAAACGGTATTTGGAAGGCCATATAATTTACTTCAATTAAGGATAGACTCTTGAATTTTGAAATATTTATTTTTGCCATATTTTTTAACATTTATTCACAACTATTTTATATCTTTCTACAGACTTGAGAGGGTCAAAAGCTACAAAATTATTGTAATGACATAATATGTCCCTTTTATGTCTTGTTTTACTTTGAATTGAAATCTGTTATAATTTATTATACATCATGTGAAAATGCCAGATTTTGATTGGTTTTTACGAGGGAGACAATTTACTCTATCCCATGGCAAATACTCTATTACCCTTCACGCAGACTCTTGCTTAAGTGTGCGCTTTAATAAATACGGATGATTGTTATGTACAAGACGACATAGTTTATTACATGGAATTTGAAATTTAATAGACAGTTATAACAGAGCATTCAGTATAATAAATTAAATAACACATACATGTATCTGAGAGGGTGATAGAGCAGATTGTTACTCCTCGAAAAGACATTGTCAACCTTGGCTTCGCCTCAGTTGACAATGTTTTCTCGGAGTTACAATCTGCTCTATTACCCTCTCAGCTATGTGTTATTTATATAATGACAACCTTTACTAATAAAAGATCTTTGATATCGTTGGACTTTATTGGTCAAGCAACAAACGACAACTGTTTATTAATAAATTGTGAATAGATTTTAAAACTGTACGAAGTCTTGCGTCTTTTCAATTTTTTTTCTCGAATTAATCTATCCCCAGAACAAGAAGCTGGGGATTAAAAATAGGGAAATTTTTAATGACGAGTATCCGTATTTATTTGTTCTTGAATAGAACTTGTTTTAAAAAGTCATATAATGCCGTTTTTATTATGAATTCGCTCGCCAGACAGTATGTAGACATTAATCTGTGTAAAAAGTGGTACTGCAGAACCCTAGTATGACTTTATAAGTGAGAGCCAGAGCTACTGAGGGTAGCTGAGATATATTACTTAGTATTACCATCGAGATATTTTACATCTATAGCGATAAGACTTGGGATGATTGAAGTTACTTTTGATAGTTAATGATCAAGCAACAAAGTAATACACAATCACTTTTGGCAAGGTAGGAAAGTCAAATATAAGCACATGTAAGAAAAAAGCCACACTCTTTATACTTTACAGAAAATAACCAACTCTTCAATAGGTCCGTATATGACAATCATGTTTGTTATCTTGTCTTATATTTCTTTTTTTTTTAATAATAAATCAAACTTTTTCGCATAATTGGTACGGTCCCGCCAATTTTGGGATGTTACTTGCTGATATTTTCCCAACTGAACGTATAGCAAACAAAATTATCATTGTGAAATATTTCGTTTTCCTATTTCTTGAATATCGAACTAAGGGTAACCATTTGATTTTTATGGAGGGTCTAGGATGAAATTTGAAAAAAATAGGCAGGACAGGAGTTTTGAGTAAAAAAAAAAGGCAGGATGAGACACTTGCAAAAAAAAAAAGTCAGGATGACAATTTTGGTAAAAAAAAGTCAGGATAAACTTTTAAAAAAAGGCAGGACCGAATAGAGTGAAAAATAAAAAGGCAGGACAGAGATTACAACTAAAAAAAATGCAGGACAAAATTTTTCATCCCCCCCCCCCCCCCCCCCCCCTAAAAATCAAATGGTAGCTCCCTAAAAGCATTTAACGGGTGAATTCATGAAGGCAATGAGTCAGAATCTTTCATACATGTTCAGGACGATAACAAAATACAATAGGTAGGTCCTGTAATAGAGGCATAAAGAAACGTCATATTCTTCATAGCTACAAGAAAATTATACAGAAGTCTGGAACTACATTTTAACCAGTTTATTGTGTCCTTATTCTCCATCTTTTCATTAGTAAACAATAATAATTCATGGCTTTCTCTAAGTAAAACACTTTTCAGTCATATTGACCATTGAATGGACAACTATTCATATTTTTTTTTCAAATTAATTATAATATAAACATATCGTTTTATGGGGGTGAATCGAAGAAATTCAGATATATATTTAAGTCATGATATACATATTATTTTGTATCAATATTATTTATTTTGTAAAAATATTTTCTTTCTCTATTGGTATTGTACACGTATACCTAACAACAAAATTATTTTCATTTACCTGTGTTTAAAGTTATTGCAAATGGATGGTATTTTTGTTCGAGCATTTTGTTTTTCTTTAATTGTTTAACATTTCTTACCGATATAACATGTTACTTTTATTATTCTTCCCTTAGTTTATTTATTTTGTATTTACATTGTGTCATAGGTCAAATTTATTTGTTCAGTGTATGTTCAATGGTGTTAATATGTCCTTTGATTGAGTTAAGCTATTTCAGTTGATATTTTATAGTGTGTCTTTCTATGTTGTGATGTTACACTATTGTTTCAGAAAAAGGGTGAAGGTTTGGTACCATTAAAACGTTTAAACCCGCTGCATTTGTTTGCACCTGTCCTAAGTCAGGAATCTGATGTTCAGTAGTTGTCGTTTGTTGATGTGGTTCATAAGTGTTTCTCGTTTCTCGTTTTTTATATAGATTAGACCGTTGGTTTTCCCGTTTGAATGGTTTTACACTAGTTATTTTTTGGGGCCCTTTATAGCTTACTGTTCGGTGTGAGCCAAGGCTCCGTGTTGAAGACCGTACTGTGACCTATAATGGTTTACTTTTATAAATTTTGACTTGGATGGAGAGTTGTCTCATTGGCTTTCATACCACATCTTCTTATATCAATATAACAGAAAATGTCGATATAACAAATATTCGACACTTTTAAACACGTGTTCAATCTAGTTATGTTGAATTTAAACTAAATTGGAAAAAAATAATGAATATAATTCAACTATATCATTTTTTCCATATATCAACGGCTTTATGGCATTACAAGTCTGCTCTTATTTCAACGTAACGTTATTTTTAAATCCAAAAACCTCAACCTTGAATGAAAATTCGTTTAGTTGATCCTGTAATTATTTATGTTAATAGAACGGAAATTTATCTGGCAACAACATATCAGTTTTTCAGAAAGTCTATGAACTGGTTTAGAAGGACAAACAAATAATACTGATGGTTTCTGTCGATTTTACGTCGATTCTATGTAAATCAGTTTTTTTTTCAAAGTGTTTTCCTTGCATCAGATTTGAAACAAAATGCATTTTTTTCATTAAAAAATCAATCAGCTCAAGTGATTTGAAAACCCGGTAAAAAGCATCTCCCGTATAATATTGAAGGGACCTTAACATGAAGATCTTTGGGAAATATGCACCACTATATCTAACTATTTATGTTATTTTAACAAATTACCATTCATATAAATAGTAAGTTATCTGTGAAAAAAGCAAAATTGTTATGCATCTACCTCAGAATAGGTATGTCTCCTACATGCAGATGTAAATAGCCCAAATGACGGTATTGCAATGATCCTATCAATAGTTTCCTTATAATGATTAGTCATGTTTTGAATATGCAGTAGCTGTTGTTTAAGTATGCTGAAAATATGACACAAACATATTTACCATATGAACTTATAAGTGATTGAAAAGATATAGTAAGACTGGACGAAAAAGCTTTTGAAATAGGAGATGGATCAAAATGACCATTTGATTGAATGCAATTGAATCTGTGACACTTTACTTTAATCAGTTCAGTTTTATATGAAGTGGACCTATGCGCTTTTGTGAAAATAAATCTTTGCACAACGTAATGAGCATATTCACAAAGTAAATGTATTACTACGGAGATGGACAAATAATCGTCTTCCAAGCATTCTTTGAAATTGTCCTTGTAACTGTCTTCTAGGTTAGTCAACGGGTAGGAATTCAAAAATAAAACAAAGTACCAAGGGTGAAATGAGAAAAATAAGTCAAATTAAGACAATCCAATAGAAAAAGATGGACAGACAGTACGAAAGACACAAGACAGAAAACTAAAATGAATACAGATGTAGCATTCAATCTACATAAACACCGGAAGTTCGAATAGAAAACCATCACCAAGTACTTCCGTTTTGACAACCATTTGATACATCAGTATTCGAAACAGAATATCTATTTCTTTTCATAGCTAAGTGCGTATCAAATGAAAAAAGATAGCGTGATATACTTAATGCTTAATTTTGTTTATAAATGAACGACTTGTTAATTAAATTTCAAGTACCACTTACATCAAAACCTTTTTACAACTTGTTGAAATATTATATAAATACCATTTCTTTATATATGATCTGTTATATGTGTATCTCTTAATATTGCCTGTAGTTAAACTTCACCAGAAATAATGTAGGCTTTTGATCAAAATTGAATGGTCTTATACATTACACGTGATCATTTCTGTCCGTATTGGTATTGTAAGTAGCTTTATTTATATTGAATCTAAGTTCATAAACACAATTCAAATGAAATAATAGTTGTTGGATATACTTCCGTGAGACAAAAACCCAACAACACAAACTAGCAATAGACTTTTAAATAATTTAAACTTTAAGAGTGTTTTCATTAAGTATGCTTTTTGTTTTTTGTTTTTTCATTTTTTTTAATCACAAATCAAAGTACTGACCTTAATATGATTATGATATCATGTCCCATTATACAGAAACAACAATTAACAAAGTATCAAAGTATCAAAGTATCGCAATTATTACAGTCCAATTCTGGCTTTTGGAAGTTTTTATGATCTTATGAACGGTTCATTGTATCATATATGTAAGGTAATTGTTGACGATGAAGATGAAGTGACACAGCAACCCAACGACACAAGTATTATCATGTTTAAAAAAGAAAATGTTAATACATGATCGTGTTCTATTTTCTAAAAGATGAATACAAAATAGCCATCAAAATATCTTCCTACAACACCAAACTCCCCCAATGGCAAACCCATTGAGACATAACAAATGTAAATTATCTACAAGGTTACTCATATGTGTGAGTTAAACTAGTTTTTATTTATATCTAGGTGGCCGAGTGATCCAAGTAGTTCAACTACTGTATCACTAGTCTATCAATACTGAGTTTAAGAGTTCGAACCCTACATGTGACAGGTGCGCTCCAACCTTAATTGACAAGGATTGTCTTTTATTTTCCTGCCGAAGGTCGGTGGTTCTCTCCGGGAAACTCCAGCAATATTAACTGACCTCTATGGAATAGCCAATAATGCTGAAAGTACCCATTAAACACAAACCAATCAATCGATCTAATTATATCTCAATCCTTCCCTTTTAAATATCGGTCGCTGTATGTTTGAAGTTCCAGTTATTGCTTGGTTTAATGGTGGTGATAATGAAATGTAGTTTTTTTCCAGATATACCGGTTGTTTGATATTTTCAACCAAATGTATTGGACCAAACAAGTCATTAAAAACTAATGACATTGCTATATATATATGGAATATACTCCGAAATTGAGCGTAATAATATACATGTAAGAATGCATGATTTCTGTACAGTATTTTCAGTACTTTATTTCGTTAAATTTAAGCACTAATTTGGCTGTTCAAAGGCGGGAACCACGCCATAAGTTGTCATTGGTCACTTATCTTCTTCTTTTTTTCTGGTTTGTCTTATCATGTCTATAAGAAAATAACAAATAACAAAAAAAAAAAATAATTAGATAATAAAAAAATTAAAAAATGAAGTCTTGATTTCGATGGCTGATTCACAATATTCTCTGTTCAAATTTACAACTTGTCTGTGTTGGATTTTGTGTCTAAGAGATAAATATTCAGAGTCTACAAATAATACAAGGTGGTCTCGAGTTATAGGTGCTGAAGTTGTGTATCTTTTTATTTAATTTACTGTTTCCCCTACATTTATCTTTGTCTATCTAAAGCCATCGGGTTTTTGGCTTGGTGCAGGTGGGTCCAGATGTGCGATTCAGAAGCAAGAGGTTTTTACAGTTTTGTTTTCATTTTGTTTACCCTAGCTTGTCTTTATATTTTACTTAATTTGTACTTTATCGAGAAAGAGTATACTATATACTGTATGTACATGAACGTTTTATTTTTTAAATTATTACAAAATTATTTTGAAATTTTGTTCAGGTCTGTTTGAATTTTTTGTCATTTGTGTTGTATGTAATGTATGTTTACACAGTTTTGGCTGAAGGATCCCAATTATTGTCTCATTCACTTATTATGTCTGTTCTGGTTGCTCACCCAAATTTGTTAATATAATGGAACAGTATAGACAACTGTCATACAAGCGGGAGGTTTAGCTAGCTTTAAAACCAGGTTTAAAATAAAGTTTTACGTTTGACTTTGTCAGTTTTTATGGACTTCCTCCCTTTTGAATTTACTTTGGAGTTCGGTATTTTTGTTATACTTTTTACAGCGCTTTTGATGATATATTGTTTAGTTTATAACTATTTTATTTGTTCAAAGAGACATATATTATCGAACACAAGTTTACCAACTTATTAAGGCTTAATTCTCCTTTTTATAATATAACAAGTACAATAATTAAGCAGAGCATGCGAAGTTGATTTAATCTCTTAAGGTAGTAGTAAGTAGAGGATATAACACACAATGTGAAGGAAAAAAAACCACAATTAGAAAAGATGATGAAAAAAATTGAAAAAACAAACAGAAAGAATAATTATAAATGAATGAAATTCTGAGAACATGGAAATGTTGTTTGTTTGTGTCTTATTTGATTAAAAGTATGTTGGTCTGGAGATTCTGATCTGTCTCATCGACGCAGAGGTGGACTAGAGGGGACAAGTGGCTCGGGTTCATATATGATAAATGAGTATATTTTTTTTAAATTATCACTCCCAACGTTGGCTTTTGAGAGTCCCCCTTCTCAAAATACTGGTTCCGCACATTTGTCGAATATCTAATCATCCTATTTGATCCTATAAAGGATATGGACTGAAAATCTACACGTTAGAAGGAGCTACTCTACTACATAGACACAAGAAAAAGGTTTTCTCTAACTGAAATATAGAGAAATTTCAATAAATTCAATTCAACAAAAACAAATGAATGAATTTAAAATTGTTGTATTGAATATACATTTTATGATTTAATTATAATACATTGTAGTTCAACTGAAAGAAAATATTCATTAAATGTAACAAAATGGTTGCCAAAAAATATAATTTCCTTGAAGGAAGGACACTATATTAACCTTAGTTATTGCGAACCCAATGAAAGTTTTCCACAGTGCCATCTCTATCTTGACCAGGTATTTAAACTTTTGCAAGTTCACCTGTCCTATTGAATAGATACAATAGCTATTGTTCTCTGTGTAGTTTATTCTCTGGGACCTTTAAATTTCTTCTAAGAGAAATCTATCATTCATTGATTAAATTACCTGAGTAAAAAAAAATTCTTATATATAGACAAAAATACTGTTTTTATACTCATTAACTGCGTGTGATGATGTAGTTATTCAATATTAATAATATATTTTCATTCAGTTTAATATAAACATTGATTCAATCATAAAAATTTGATTTCTGACAAAACTTTCAACATTGTTCCTTTTAAAAAAAAATTTGTTTGACATGAATAAGAACTTGAAAATAATGATGTTTCAAATTAAGATCTTCTTAAATGTATTCTATAACTAAACAAAAAAAAATCAAATTTCAATAGGAACATTGATAAAACTTTTGTTGGCCGTATCCTGAGGTGTATAACTAACTTACACCCTATTCTAAACCCTATATTTGTTAACATTGATTATAAAATGAAAAAACAAAAAAAAAAAGATAGCATATTTATTGAAAATATCAAACCATGATTTATAAGAATATTTTTATATTACATGAAACCCCACTAGAAACCTTTCTTTTGTTATCTTTGTTCAAACTTTGACAAGTGAGTATATTTTACAAATGTCAAAGTTGTTGTTTTGCATATTCCCGTTAAACCATGTGCTAATATGGATCAGCAGGTCAAGGTTGACTGTTTCGTGTATTCTTATTACAAACAAAAAATACATCATGCTCCTTGTATACAGTTGTCAATATGGACGGGTATAAGACGGACGACATTTTGTGGCAAGCGTTGGATTTGATAGAAGCAGAGACATATATAAACATTGATTCAATCATAAAAAGTTGATTTCTAACAAAAGTTTTATCAATGTTCCTATTGAAATTTGATTTTTTTTTGTTTAGTTATAGAATACATTTAAGAAGATCTTAATTTGAAACATCATTATTTTCAAGTTCTTATTCATGTCAAACAAATTTTTTTTTAAAAGGAACAATGTTGAAAGTTTTGTCAGAAATCAAATTTTTATGATTGAATCAATGTTTATATTAAACTGAATGAAAATATATTATTAATATTGAATAACTACATCATCACACGCAGTTAATGAGTATAAAAAAAGTATTTTTGTCTATATATAAGAATTTTTTTTTACACAGGTAATTTAATCAATGAATGATAGATTTCTCTTAGAAGAAATTTAAAGGTCCCAGTGAATAAACTACACAGAGAAAAATAGCTATTGTATTCATTCAATAGGACAGGTGAACTTGCAAAAGTTTAAATACCTGGTCAAGATAGAGATGGCACTGTGGAAAACTTTCATTGGGTTCGCAATAATACTATTAAAATAGAATTAAAGTTCTAGGAAATTATTGAATTAATTGTATCAAGTACTTTTTCCTGTAAATATTTAAACATTCAATATTTGTACATGTATGTATGTAAACACTAAATTAAACACTAAATTATATATTCATATTTAACAGGTAGCCATGGAAATATCGACACCGGACGATAACATCACAAATTTTCCACCAATCTCTACAAGCACAGACTTCAATATAAGTAGGCTAACAGAATCTTCAAGATCATTTTAAATATATATATTAAACTTACTGACTGATTGATTGGTGACTGCATAATGCCAAGGAAGATATTCCATACTTGTATACTAATATACAGAACTATAAAAGAGAGGCGAAATATACCAAATGTCAGGGCAGATATTCCATGCTTATATACTTATATACAAAGATATAAAAGAGAGACGAAATATACCAAATGTCAAGGCAGATATTCCATGCTTATATACTAATATACAGAGATATAAAAGAGAGGCGAAATATACCAAAAGGACATTCGAACTCATTAGTCGAAAGTAAACTGACAACGCCATGGCATAAAACGAAAAAATCAAAGAGAAACAACAGATCACAAAACACAACATAGAAAACTAAAGACTGAGCATCACGAACCCCACTCAAAACCAAGGACTGATCTCAGGTGCTCCGGAAGGGTAAGCAGATCCTGCTCCACATGTGGTATACAAGGATGTATAAAACATGCTAATTTGATATGACAATGCATAATAAGGATAACAGGAGTTACCAAAAATATTGAACAGCTAGTACAATAGACCACACCAACATGTATTCCTCTAAAACAAGACGTACAAAGAAAATCAAATACAACCAACAACAAATGTTCATGATAGCCTGATTTGGTACAGACACAGGAGATGTGTAACCTTACCGTGACATATTTTTGTTAGCCGAACAGCCTTTGCTCTTACTTCTAAATGTGACGTGAATGACAGATAAGCAGCACATACCGATTTAAAAGTCTTGTTTTATCTGGCCGGCAATTCAACCCACGCTTTACCGCACTTGAGGCAACCAAGGGATAATCTTAAGTGTAAATTAGGTCTTAATCAGGAAAAAGAGGACGGGATAATGGCTACGGCAATTGGAAAATATTAGTGGTTATTTATGTCAAAACTACAAACGCATTACATACCGATCAACCAAATCATGATTGCGTTGGTAAAATTTTTAAAGGGATGATTTCCAAATTTTAAAATCATTAGAGAAACAGATTACACCACCAAATCTCGTGCAATACGATATTTATTCACTCTCGACAGTTAAACTTTAAATATTTAAAGCGGTCGGCGAGCCTCGCGTTTTAAATTTGAAATTTTAACTGTCTTGAGTGGATACATATCGAATCACACTTGATGCAGTGGCATAATCTATATATCTACAACTTTATCATTCATCTTATTCTTCTTTCAGGTACAACGTCTTCCGACTATGTGTACTCAATAACCGTATATTATATAGGTGCATTGACCTTTACGATGCTCGTTGTCATGACAGTAGCCTTTATAATCATGTGCCATGTCTTGCGTAGACTACGACATAAGACCCGACCCCCAGAACCGGTCAGAATGGCTAGTAATAATGATTTTAACATACGAATTTCGGATGTATTTGATGGCGGAAACAAACGAAGGATGTCACGTGCTCCCGGACAGTCGAGGAATACGGCATACTTCAGACAAGATTCGCATGAAGCAAGTCGATTTGATCGGATGTCAGTCGTCCCATACGCTGTTTCAGTTGTAAATGATAATTTGAATCCACCACCGATCATTGGCGAACCGCCAAAAACTGAGCACCCGGGTACAAAATTAATGACTGAAACAGCAAATCACAGTGTTACGCAGGTCAAAGACTCAACCGGCGTTAATCCGATGCATTTAACACAAACATTGCCAGATAACTCTACAAATAGTATTCCCGCCAATGGTTACTTGACAAAACAAAACAGAATTATTTCCCCGCCAACATTACCGAACAGCATTCCTGTGAACGAAAACACGACGCAACAAAACAGTTCTAGTTTGCAGTCAACACTGCCAAATAGCAATAAAACTAAAATGCATGTGAATGTGGATGAAAACTTGACGACGCAACAAAACAAAACTATTTTGCCGTCAACACTGCCAAACAACGCTACCAAAAACAACCTTGCAAACGAAGTCTTGATACAACAAGACAAAATCGCCGGAACAGATCTGCCAAAAAATACAACGAATGAGTATCAAGTGCCTAGGTCAACAAAAGTGGTACAAGATAATGATAAAACTCATTACCAAATTCCTGGAAACCATTATCAAACTCCTAAAAGTCCTTTAATATCAAAATATCCGAATTATCAAACTCCTAAAGCCCCTCGGAAAGTGATAGCATTATGATACATATTTACATATAATTTAGCCGTTTTAGTCATTAAAGTGAGAAATTGACACTACGTACGTTGGAATATATTTTTTGTAAAAGTCCGAAAAAAAAGAAAGCAGGGAAATTTTGAAGTGTGGGATGGATTTCTGTTCTGCTTATTACACATTTAGTAAATTCCTCCGTCATGAATGTGAAATGTTTACTTGCAATGTTCAACACGGTGGATGCCACAAGGGGAGCTAGGTCGGCTTACATGTACCTTTCCTGGACATATGATATCATCCCCGGTTTTTCAGTGGAGTTAGTGTTGCTCAATCAAATTTAGTTTTCCGTGTTGTGTTTTGTTAGAATGTTGTTTGTCTTAATAAGTTATAGTGATCGCTTTTTCATTTTTCTTTTTGGCCATAGTATCGTTGTTTTTCGTCGACTTGTGATTTTTGTTTGTTTCCTTGGTATCCCCTGTGTCTTTTTCTACTTAGTACTCAATATACAGTTTTATCTTTATGCATTTAATTTCTATTCTTCCATAATTCTTGTGTTCGAATCATAATCAGACATATAAGGGTTCTTCGCTGTGCGAGAAAACGTTCATTTACCTCGGATTTTAACATGTATATATTAACACATTGTAAAGTAGATAACTTCATTTACTTCGGTATTTAACATATGCAAGACATTTAGTATAATATGACACACTTTGTAAAGAAAAAGAAAAAAAAGACAAGTACGAAGTAATCAAAGTACGAAGTAAACAAAGTACGAAGTAAACAAAGTACGAAGTAAACACAACACGCTTTGTATGCATGAGTTCAAGGTTTGAATTTAACAAGTGTCCTGTTTTCATTGTTTTCATTGTTTTCATTGTGTTTATTAATTATTATAACAAACATGTGTTTGTTGAATCCGTCAATTATTAAGACCGAACATCCTTGTTCAATTTAGCAATCTTCTTTTATTTAACGCAAATTTGTCTGTAATGGTTATGTGCCTCTTTTTGTTGATACATGTAGCAAGATCTGGTGAGAGGTTCAACGTAGTTTTAGAAAGTTCCATGAATTGTGCAAATCATATATTGCCGTATATTTTTGGAAGAGGAGTGCTCAAAATTTTCAAACACAGCATGTAGTCGAAAGGTTTCAGCCAGTTAACTTGGACCCTAATAGCTTGAATTTATTATCTTGCTATGCCTATACATGAGGCCACCATATATTGGAAAATAAGAATCTATACATGATGTGTTTACATGTACGTTAGATATTTTTACTGGTGTTATAAACCATTTAGTTAATAACAAATGCTTGTGTTTAATTCTTTTAATTCCTCGTCCTGAACATGCATGAAATATTAGCCACTGGACGTTAAGCAACCAATACTCAATCAATCTTGTGTTTAATTTCCGAAATTATAGTTTGAAATATATACAGATTTGTATGATTGGATATGTGTCCTTAAAATTTCCATTGGAACGAAAGATGCCTTGTGGGGTTTCCCACCATAGTTCTATGGAGGCCTTGCTATAATTCAAGTTAAATATCCTAATTTATAATCATGGATTCCTTTTTTCTTATTAAAAAATTGATTTTCTCTCTATGATGTTCATACTTCTATTTGTTTTAGCAAGGTTTGCCTTCGTGCTTTTAGTTAAGATTCTTCCTTTAGTCATGTGTATTTACTAAGTATATCATTATTCGTTGTATCAAAATGTAGAATAGTATGCTTTATTTATTGTTGTTTACTAAACGTCCAGTGACAAATATTTCAAGCATATTCAGGACAGTCGGTTCTGCAAATTTTATTCATCTGTACGTATGAAGGGCAGAAATTTAAAAAAAGAAAAACATTGAATAGACGTAGAATTAAAGGGTCACCTACGGCCCCTCAAAGAGTTATTGCAAACACTATTAAACATGCATACAGCTGAGAATAACCTTTTCCCTGCACAATGCATACCTTCTCATTTCAGTCCGGACAAAGCTGCATATTCATACAAATAACACAGCAAAATGGAGGCCCCTCTTTAGCTTTAGTCTTAAAAGCCGAATGGTGAAAATCCTGTTGACCATTTTATATACATGTACCCCTGTCAACCCTTGGGGCTTACAATAGTATGTAGGCAAATGGAAATTGCAATTTTTGTGTCTCAAGGAGGGGGCATTGCCACAATACTGTTCAGTTTTTAGTTTCCTAATTCTATTTTCTAGTATAACTATCACATTTTTTCTTTTAACTCACGTGATTCATTTTCTTCGTATTATTTATGTTTTAGATAATATTCAAAATAATGTGTGTTTTCCCATTTCACTATAGATAGTGCATCAATAATTTTATAACTTTTAGATTATTCAATTGACCACTTGCAACCTTTTGGTGACTTCCAGCCAGTAAAAATTGTTGAACATTATATTTCTTGCTTGCATATGCATTTCATTATCACTTTTATTTGAGCATGGTCAAAAAAATTGTTAAAATCATCGGTAATAATAAAAAAAAGAGAACTGAGGAAAGAATATGTTTACTTATTATGGCATGATAAATACCACTGAAACAATTTTGAGTCAAACAAGTCAAAAAGCCCATTAAATCACCTATTCTTAGATACTTATCATTTACTGTTATAATCAGGGTTCAGACAATACCACCAAGTTTATGATAAAAATTTTCTCTCTATTTGTAAAACTACTTTAATATTTTTTTTAAAGACTCGAAATAATTTTCATAGTCACTGTGGTTTGAACTTGTTTGGGGAATGTAACCTGAACATAAATATAAATTGTAATCAAAACAAAATAGTTTTCCATCGAATCTATTTTCAAATATTACGTCATGTAACAGATAGCATTTAACTTATTTTTAACGAACCATTCAATATATGAATTAAAAAAATTAGTTGCAGAATATGATATGTATGACAGAGGAAGGGTGAATTTATATAAAAAAAAATTGCAAGTATACGTCCATGCCATATTACTTCTTTTCCTGAATGTTAAATAAAACTTATAACATCCTTAATGCTTTGATGATGGAAATTATGTAATAAAATAAGTAAAATGATGGAAGTTCGGAGTCTTACTGATTTTAATTGGAGTTTTTGTAAAAAAAATATACTTGTAAATATTGTTAGGTAGTTCATCAGTTGTACATAAAATTATATTGCTGAAATCTAGAGATAAAATCTCAAATCTCGGACAGGATAGGCAAACACTAGTTTAATGGTAGTTAAAGGGGGTTTTCTATTTGGAAGAGAAATTTATTTAAAATGCAACAAATATCATGCAAATAAACCAGTTCCTTGTCCCTCTCTCGAGCTTATATCATCTGCTTATATGAAAACATTAATGATATTTCATCTGAATCAAAGTTCCATGCTAACTTTTTCCAAAACATTGGAAAAGAAGGAGAGGGGTATATGGGATCTACGTTACACAACATTCTTAACAAAAATACATGAAAAAATTTTATAATACCGGTTGAAAATTATTATGAAGCAACTAGTTAAAGATTTTCAATAAAGACAAGCCTGATATTTAAATAGTTGAATAAATAAAACTGATTGAAAAAAATACTCTTAGTGTGTAAAACTTTTAGGTTGGTAGACGAAAAGGGTATACTTCAAGAAGCTGATCGACTATTCAGATGGAGCTATTGTGTCTTTTATTTTGCCTGAAATCGTGGCACGTATCACCGCGGAACAAATGAAATACGAACAGAAAACTAATACATGTATTACTCCTTGCAGGGTACATTTCTTTGAGATGCCATCGGAAATTCATTCTGGTTCTACATATCTCATTATTATAATTATAATAATGTTTGTTGTTGTTATTTGGTTTCTGTCTATTGCTAAATCTGAAGCCGCTATCCATTTAACAAGAAACAATAATAACTCAATTTTGTATGTTAAGTCTTACATGACCGAAAATGTTATACGTGTATAATATAAACATAAGGAGATTGGTATGATTGTCAATGAGGCAACCATCCACAGGATAACAAATTTAAAACAAGGATGTTAACAACTGAATGGTACTGTAATGACAAAAAAAAAACATACCGTATTGTAAGATATAAAAGGCACCGACATGACAAAATGTATTACTAAAACAATTCAAGCGAGAGAACCAAAGTCCTGATTTGTGATAAAACAATAAATAAAAAACAAATATGACAGACAACAACCAACGACAACCACTAAACAAAATGGCTCCTGTCTTGAGACATGCACTTGGAGAATGTGTGGGGTTAACCATGTTTGCAAGAGTTCAATCCTACCCTAACCTGTGAAAGTGGTGTAACAGTACAACAAACTGTAAAATCAGTTGCAAATGGCTTAACTCAAACGATCGGTACGAAGCAAAAAAAATAAACCAGCTGACTTAAAAACAATAGACAGATAGCAACGATATAAGAGTACTCGCAGTTAATGAAAGTCAGTTCAAATCTGATGACAACTAATAAATATCATGTTCGCCTAGTTATGAGGTCATAATATGCACTTATACACAATTGAAATAGTTCTGTAAATGTTGATGAAATATCTTATCTGGATATACGGACGGACGGAAAGACGGTCAAGGGTAACACTTAATGCCCCCGTTGCCAACGGCGGGGGCATAAAAATTAGCATCATAATACAGAATATTTTCATAGTTCACAATAACTTAGTAATTAACAGTTATTAATTCTGATGGTCTGGATGGGGTCCTTAATTTCTGCAATCTTTAAATTCTTAGGGAATTTTTCTTTATCTTTACAAATAACCCATATTCTGTAAAATTCGCCAGAAAATTACTGTACTATTGAACTTTATGTAATTTGGTGATTTCTTTATTCTGCACATCGTTCATTTCTGTAATCAGTATTGTATTTTCCAGTTCTTTTATTTTCCACAGTTATTCTTTATACTTTTGCACCCCATTACTCTCTATTCTTTATATGTATTGCTCATTTTTCTCTATTCTGTAAATTCCATCCAGACCCCCAGTTATCAACTTGCTTGATGGTATACAGTATGTGTAAAGAAGGAGAAGAATATAATTAATTATATCGCGTATTTTTTTTCTCTCTTTGTTTTGCGTCAAGCTTATTCTTCTTATCCTAGCTACCAGCCAGCATTGAAGAAAACACGGAGAAAAAAACACACAGTCACACATACAAATAAAAACATACCAAAAGTTTTAACATTTACACCACTATTAACACCCAAATTATTCTTTTTCAAAAATTGTATCTAGCTAACTAAATATCGATGTTTTATTATGAGTGTAAAACGATTAAGGACTTTATATAATGTAAAGTTGACATGCATTGGTCAAAAGGAACACCCATATTAATTTTAAAAAAGGGGATATAGTTTTTTAAGAATAAAAAAGTATGATTCAAAAGGGAAAAATAAATAAATTTGAAATAATTTTATATATAGCATTGACTGACACTTTTTACCTATAGACGTTACTATAACAAGTATATAGGTAAAAAGTTTTCAGAGTCAAGCGACTGTGATAGCATTGGCCAACACAATATTCTGTTATACAAATTAATACTAGTATGAAAAAATACTTTTGTTTTGTGTGTACACATTTTTTACTAAAGTATTCTGTTTGACTTGGTAAGGGAAAAAATGGTTTGATTGTAATGTTGTTAAAAATCCTTTTTTTTTTAATTGTGTCCATCTGTTAAAAACAAAATTTTCAAACAAATATTAAAAAAAAACCAGACAAACCCCAGACCTCTTTGAAGTTAAGTAGTCCTTAACATATATTTTACACATGTACATACACACTTAAAAATACCCTTTTCAAAACATTGCAGAATACTTCAATACACCGATTTTCTCAGTGCACGAATGACGGAAGATTTTAAAACAAATTGTACTATATTAAGTAAAACTAATCAGTTGGACTTTTGGTTAAAAAAATAAATATCCATGATTCAAATCATGAAAGGGTTTAAATGCATATCAGGTTAATGTTCCGGCGAGGTTAAATTCCCTGTCATTTATTCATCATCCACACAGGAACTTGTCTCAGAAAAAAATATATCTATGTACCTTAACCTAATTTTCAGGTATAGAGATATGATTTTTGTCTGAGACCATCCACCAGAATTTGCGGTCATCCGATGTTCAGTACTTCAGTACTTTGATTATATTATTCACCACTAAAATTTAAGTAAACCGGGAAGTGATATGTCACGAAATTTCAACGAGATATATATATATAAATATCTATAAAAGTTTAAAGATCTCATTTCCGACCAATCCAGGTTTGAAATTAACTTTCAGTTTTTGTTTGAATGTATATGATATATGGAAATTCCATTCTGATATTCGCAACAGGAAAACAAAAATCAATCAGCAATTCAGTGTAGTTTAAAAAAGAAAACATGTGTGTTTATTATAGACACACCTTATTTTTACTTTTTATATACGGAAATGTAAAAGATTCTCATCAGTTATCTACAACAGATAAGAATGCTTGCAAATCGGATACAGGGTAATGTTAATTTATTAATTAGACACAGATGTTTAGAATACATACATATATATATGTACGTGACAAATAAAACATTCATTTTGTGTCGAATGCATGCGGATATTCTACGTATGTGTTTAATATTTCCAGTATTTTATCATTTTATAAACTACCACTCAAATACCGTGATGTGAACTTTCTCTTTCGATTTGAATTTATTAGAAGACTTGTCAATATTGATCTTTAATATTTTTTTCAGGATAGAATGTTGTTATGGATATATACTTTCAAAAGATCGATCAAGATGTGAAGGTTCGGAGATTTTATTGTCTATGTTCTTTTGTAACATCGCCATGTGGAGACATATATCGCAGTGCATTTAATTTACACTTATGCCAAGTCTTATGTCGTGTTTTTCCGTCCAGTTGAACAATTTATTTGTGTTCAACAATAAAAACAGCATAACAAGTATAAGGGAAATAATTCGTCTGAAAAAATTTAAATGCAATTCCAAGAATAGTAATTCTAAGAATCATATCTGTCGACCTATACATTGTATGACTGGCATTTTAAATCAGTAATGAAACCTTATTGTGAATTGTAAAAATAAACGATAGGATAATTACCTTATCTTATTTTCATCACATTAAAAACTTATAATATATCTTTTTTTTTTTATCAAAGTATAATTTGATTGCTCTATCGCGTTCCATGAAATGAAACTCAATAGACATGATAGAAGAAATGTCAATCAATTTATAACCGAGAAATAAAAATTATTTTAATCTACCATGAAAACGATTAGTCTGCGAGTATCATATTTTTATCTCATATGACTGAGGGTCTTGATGTTGTTTACAGATATAGAATAATGATCTAAAAAATATAATGAAGAGAGAAAAATTAGCAAAAAAAAAAATTAAAAAGAGAATAAAACGGGTTGCAAAAGTATAACGAATAACCCTGGCAAATAAACGAATTAGGTAATGAAATTCTGGTTACTGAAATGAAAGATCTACAGAATAAAGAAATACATAATTATAAGAAAAATCTATACTAAAACATTTCCATGATAATCTTACAGAATAAGCGTTAACTTTAGAGATAAAGAAAAATGCCCTAGATATTTAAAGAATGCAGAAATTAAAGACCCAATCCATACTCTTATGACTGATACATTACCTTTTAAACGTACTAGAGTAATTACATCTAAATTAGCTCTCCAAACCCTGTAAGTTAGAAGTCGAATGTAGGTGCCGTTTTAAAAAAAAAACATTGAAAGTTCATTATCTAAAAAATATCAGAAAGACTTTTCTGTATTATTGGTTACACATTTTCGTGTTAGATTGTTCTAGTTTTTATTGTTTGTTATTGATTAAAAATTCACAGAGATTCCACTTTAAACCATGTTCGATGGAATATCTGTCAAATAGAATATCAGTCAAATGAAAAATCTATCGAAAGGAATATCTTTCAAGTGGAATATCCGTCAAATGGAATATCTGTCAAGTCGAATATCAGGCAAATGGAATATCTGTCAAGTCGAATATTAGTCAAATGGGATATCTGGCAAGTGGAATACCTGTCAAATGAAATATCTGTCAAATCGAATATCAGTCAAATGAAATATCTGTCAAATCGAATATCAGTCAAATGGAATATCTGTCCAGCAATCGAATATCAGTCAAGTGGAATATCTGTCAAGTCGATTATCAGTCACATGGAGTTTCTGTTAAATTGAATATCTGTCAAGTGGAATAGGCCAAATAGAATATCTGTCTAATGAAATATATGTCATGTGGAATTTCTGTCAAATGGAATATCTGTCAAGTGGAATATCTGTCTATTGGAATATCTGTCGTGTTGAATAACTGTCATGTGAAATTTCTGTCAAATGGAATAGGTCAAATGAAATATATGTCAGTGGGATATCTGTCAAATGAAATATCTGTCAAGTGGACAATCTGTCAAATGGAACATTTGTCAAATAGGATTTTTGACAAATAGAATAGATCAAATTGAATGGGTCTAATGATATAATACACAAAGCTGTCAAATAGAATATCTAAAATGAGATGTCTGTCAAATGGAATAGATCAAATGAAATAGCTGATAAATGGAATAGTTCAAATGAAATAGCTGTCAAATGGAATTTATGATAGATAGAATGTCCACTATAATCTGCGATTCTCTCAGAACGAATACGACCAGGAGGGTGATTGTGATGACCATGCTGAAGAGAGTCTTTCTGTGCCTATCCCTGACCACCCACCAGTTCGCGCAGAACTCCCACCTATTCTTATTTGCGAAAATATCTGTCAAATGGAATGGGTCAAATGAAATATCTTTAAAATGAAATAAGTCAAATGCTTTATCAATCAAAAGGAATTGGTTAAATGGAATAAATGTATCTGTCATAGAGGATATGTCAAATGGAATAGGTCAAATGAAATATCTATCAAATGGATAGCTCAAATGGAATGTCGGTCAAATAGAATAGGTCTAATGTAATATCTGTCAAATGAAATAGGTCAAATGCAATATCAGCCAAAATGAATTGGTTAAATGTAATGTATGTCAAATGGTATATCTGTCAAATGGAATAGTTCAAATTGAATACCTTTCAAATGAAATTGGTCAAATGGAACAGGTCAAATGGAATAGGTCAAATGTAATATATGTCAAATGTAATATCTGACAAATAGAATTGTCAAATGGAAAATCTGTCAAATAGAATAGGTCAAATGGTCTAGGTCAAATGGAATATCTATCAAATTGATAGCTCAAATGGAATATCTGTCAAATTGATAGCTCAAATGGAATATCTGTCAAAATGATAGCTCAAATGGAATATCTGTCAAAATGATAGCTCAAATGGAATATCTGTCAAAATACTAGTAGGTCAAATGGACTAACTTTCAATGGAATATGTCAAAATGAATATCTGTGAAATGCAATCGGTCGAATGTAATATCTGTCAAACAATATATTAAGGTTCCACTAAAGTCAAAATATAGGAAACTTCATAAACATCTATACTTTGCCTGTATTTTTCAACCTATAATGAGTAAAGTCCTAAACTATGAGAACATATGTTCATTTAAACATACTTAACATATACACACTGTGTAAATTGTAAATAAACTTGAAATTGTTATGCTGTGGCCAAACCGGTTCTTGGGGTGAACACTAAATTTTCAAAAAAATCTGAAGGCCAGCGAGACAAATTAATTTGCTTAAAATTGGTATGGACGAATACTGTTACATGTAATGCAGGTCAAGCTCGTGTTGATTTGTCACATGCATATGTTTTAATGGCATATTTGTCCAATTTCTGTATTGCACCTTCGATATTTGTTCACCTAGATATATGAAATTAACTGAAACTCAAAAATCAATACATTTTCTGAAAAATCAACATGAGCTTGCCCTGCATTAGATATAACAGTATTCGTCCATTCCAATTTTAAACAAATTAAGTCGTCTCGCAGGCCTCCAGATTTTTTTGAAAATTTAGTGTTCACCCAAAGAACCGGTTTGGCCACAACATAACAATTTCAAGTTTATTTAGAATTTACACAGTGTGTATATGTTAAGTTTGTTTATTATAAATGAACATATGTTCTCATAGTTTAGGACTTTACTCATTATAGGTTGAAAAATACAGGCAAAATTTAGATGTTTATGAAGTGTCCTATATTTTGACTTTAGTGGAACCTTAAGTCAAATGGAGTATCGGTCAAATGGAATAGGTCAAATGTAATATCTGTCAAAAGAAAAAGGTCAAATGTAATATCTGTCAAACGAAACAGGTCAAATGTAATATATGACATATTAAATAGGTCAAATGTTATATCTGTCAAATGGAATAGGTCAATTAGAACATCTGTCAAAAAGTAACAGATTCTTTAAATCTTTCTTTGGGAAGAAGAGGCACAAAAAAAAAACATCTCCATGTATTGTTCTGCAATAAGATAATGATGTTTAATGGTACATTTAAATTCATACAAAATTATGTTTGATTTTTTCATCTTCAGAAATGAACTACAGTCGCATCTGTAATCCAAGCTATTTTCCTTGCAATAGGAAATGGTATAGGTGGCTCAGTCACACCCAACAGAGAATGCTCTATTGACCACGGAAGTTCTAAGAACAATATAAAATTTCTCATCTTTATCGAAAAGAAACATACTTTACATACGCATGTCCTTTGAACTTTTGATTTTTACTGTCAGAAGTTGGAAAACAGTAAATATTGCAATCCACAAAAGTTGAAAAGGCACACCATTTTGTCATTAAATAATTTTGTACACCAGGCGCGCGTTTCATATATAAAAGACTCTTAAGTGACGCTCGAATTAAAGTAGTTTTAAGACTAAATAAAGTACGAAGTTAAAGAGCATTGAGGACCCCAAATTCTGAAAAAGATTATCCAAATACAGCTTTTGCAATTTATTCCTGGAGTAGTAAATCTGCAATATTTCGTTCAACGATCTTTTTAAGACATTATCTTGAGATGAATTTGTTGTGATAAGTTAACTTTTTAAATTAATTTTGTAAAGACTGATTTTAGGAAAAGTGAAGCAAAAATTGAAGGGAAAAATAGTCAATTAAGCGGAATTCTACTAATACCGAAATTTTGAAATAAAAATAGTAGAGAGCGAGATCACATGGCCTATAGAAGTTAATATTTATTTCCAATATCTATTTTCGGATGTTGGATTGATATCTGATACATTAATGTTTGAATGCGCATGACTTTAAATACTTTTTTTTAAACTATTCTTTTATGTGCTATGTTGTAGATTGCCCAGCCGGTTTATATGGTAATAGCTGTTCATATAAGTGTCCATATGGACAATACGGGGTTCGTTGCAACTCCAAATGCACTTGTTCAGGGAAGCAAATTTGTGATAGAGTCGAGGGATGCAAATTGAAAACCCGTTTCGTTAAAGGTATGATCAATATAATGAGTTCATGAATATGCAAATTAAATTAGAACACTGAACAAACAACAAACATATTCATATATATATTTAAAAAAAAGATGATAAGGGGATAATGAGATTTTGAGATTTCGAAGGACATAAGAAAAATATGTAAAGACCAAAATTAGTTCATACGCCACAACACAGAAACTAAACGAATGAGTCGCATTTATCTCATCAAATACCAGGGGTAAATTCATGTTGCCAGGAAGTGTAAGCATGCCAGCAAAGCAATGTTGCTCCAGTGATGATAATGTATTTACATGTCGCTGAGATAAGACATACTAAGTGTTAAATTTGTAAAATGTGTTTATTGAACTTAATTAAATCAAGTAAAATGCGATGTGTGTGTAATCTTCATTTCTGTTTGTATTCTTGATCATAAGTTACCACGTGATTATTTTAAAGGAACAACAGACGTCTCTACTTCGACAAACATCGGACATTTTCGGAAACCCAATGTATCTAGTTTGTTTCTTTGGAGGAGTAAAACTTGTTTTTTTTTTTTGGTTTAAACATATCTTATTTGCATAAACACAAATTGGATGAGACACAAGTCAAAGTTACAGAAGTATGAAATCTTCTCCATTTAACATATTTAACAATACAATATATAAGAGCATGCATACATTACAAATTATTTAACATTTGTATAAATTGGACAGAAAAATTAAGTGGCACAAAGGAAGTAGAGAGAAAAAAAATGGTTTTGCAGTTTGTCCTACGCAGTATCATTACCTTTTGCCAAAAATAAGGTTAATAACTTTTTTGATATTGCTTTTTTATGAATTTTTATGAAAAAATTTAATGTTGATGGTCATTTTGGTTATTGTGCAAGTACCAATATGAGCCAAACTGTACAAAATTCAATAAAACAAACTTGAATGAAATAGTTAGCATCAATATTTCAACTCGTACTTTTGAAGCAAAAAGTCCAAAGGTAGTTACAGATATTTCATAGTACTTTAAATGTAGGTTCAAAACAAAAATAAATCATGTTCTGTGTTCCTAAATAGTGAATTTATATTCATCTATCTTTCAAACATTCTGGCAAAACTCTGGCACAAAAATGCCAAAAGATTTCTGAATAAATTATATATTCTGAATATAATTTGATAACTATTTGCATAAATGAACAGATTCAGAAATGTGCTTTCATTTAAAGTATTCAGTTGATATCGTTTACTTTAATTAACAATTACTCGAACACTAGATTACTATACATTTTGGAAATTACTGAAGTAGTTGAGAATTAACACGCCCTTGTCAACTTCTCCTACGATCCATCCTTTCAAAATTTCTATCATCTCATTTTTGTTTAACTGTTTAACGTGTTTTAAAAAAGCTTTGGTAACCACGGGCCAGAGAAAAGAGAAGACGACGCAATACTCTACAGAAATTCAAACGACAAAACGACCCTCTACGGCCATTGACGAGGGAACATCAGGTACTACATTATGATACTACTTCCACGTTAATTGGCTGTTTTAAGGTCAAGATGAAGCAAATATCGGTCCTAGAATTCCAAATGTTTTAATGCTAATAGATCCAACGGATACAAACACGTGTGGGCTAAAACATTTGAAGATATCCATCTTTTTTTTTAAATATAATAAAGGCATGTTGTTTTATATCTACTAACTCAGACTATATAGACAAATCCGGATTTTGAAATGCACAGATCAGATAAATGTTAATAAAAACATTCATGCCGTCTACAGTTTCAAAATATGACTTATTTTATCATTAATATAATGCCACATTGAAAATATGAACATGTGTTGTTCCTTGTTGTTTGTTTTCGATTATAAGTCTTATTTCTCTTATATTGGTCAAAATTCCTATAATCCTTTTATGTAATTATAGGATATTATACATTTATTTCCCGTGCCGGAGGGAGATATGAAGATTTGTTCACCCAAGAATATTCATATTTCACGAGGGCTCTCCCGAGGGAAAGGGAAATGAATGATTTATTCCACTGCCTATGCTTTGTTTACTATCAATACATTAAATATTATTTTGCATACATTTTTTTTTCTTATCCGCTTGTTTTTGTAAGTCAAACTAAACACGACATACCCATTGATAAACAGTAAGGATCAAAATTTAAATATAAGTCTTTTTGTTTTATCGTCTGAAATAAATTTGAACATGATAATGATTTTTGCTATCGCTATTTTAAGAAGAATAAGAAGTTCAAAACGTTATGTACATTAACCGCGCGTAACGTCGCACGAAGTAATCCCGACATTTCAGAGGGGAATATGATCCTCAGAATGGAATATGAAGGTTTGTTCAATGACACGTGGGATAGTCTGACCCAATCAAATATTGATTAAACTATCAATATGTTTAAACAGTGGAATTATATCAAAGGTTTTTGTATTTGAATCAGTTTTTTATTCCGTAAATATTTTTTTTATTTTTTACATTCTCGTTTTATTTCAACATTCAACATATGTAGCTATTCCCAAAACTCCATTTCTAATATATACTGACTAGTATAAGGAAGTTTCTGATTTTAAAGTACATTTATTTTTCAGACATAGACACAGTAGTATTATACAGTTCAGAGAATAGGGAAGAAAAAACAAGAGTTGTTTATATTATATATAGTAGCGGTGGCGCTCTTGCTTTTGCCTGCATACTTCTTTTCATAGTAGGAATGTTCTTCGTTTTCAAACGTTTGGGCAGTTCTAAAATTGTACCTATTTATAAGACTGACCAAATCCTCTATGATGAGATACCAGAAGATCTGCTGCAAAGTGACGTGGCGATCAACCGTCCAGTTGTCAGTCCCCAGAAATTTGGCTACTACAACGATAATACTCACGTTCCGTTATCAAAACAACATTCTGGTAATCTTGAGGGCTGCGAGCCTCCATCATATTACAATGACAAGAAAGAGTACGACTATGCGTACCAGAAAAGAGATGATTATTACCTTAACCCTTATAACATTCTTCAAACGACGGGATATTCAGACCACTTGTATCGTGATCTGAAAGAGTAAAGTGGATTATTTTTTTTCAATGTACTATTGATATATCTATTTTCGCTGTAGCTTATTATAGCATAACTGGAAATATTTCGTCATATTAAATAAAGAATATTTCAAGAATCACGAACAATACGATATGACTTTGAAAGGAAGGATCAACATATTTTGACTGAACAAAATGGCCACTTATTACTATGACAATATGTTTAATAATTAATTTGTCTGACCAATTTGAACTCGTTAAAGGGCGTCCGTGCAGTTGTCTGCCCAAAATAGCTTTATTTATTATATATGTGTTGTCCTTTTGGAATAGATATGTCATTATTTACCAGAAATTTACACGCGGATGTCACGTGACGTGTGAATTTAATAAAAAATAAAATCATCGATCATCGATATATTTACATTTATCATGTTCAATCATATATCAGTTTTTGAGCATTACCGTAAAGAAATCAAAATAAGTATATACGCTTTTTTCTACAAAAACCTTGACTTTGGATTAAAGCCGTCGGCGTGCAATCTAAATGATTGAATACTATACATAGCGATTTAAAAAATAAGAAAAAATATCCTAATTGTTATAACCAATTTGAATAAGTTTCTGCGATGACAGATCTTCAACATCATTGCGATACAATGTAATCAATTATTTCTTGTTTATCGAAATTCTTCGTGTCTTGTCATAATAATCGTTAGAAGATTTTATATTAACATTATGAACTGTACGTCTACAAAGTAACTTAGTAACATCACTATACAACATATTGCTATCTGTAATCGGATCCTAGGATTTCGGTTTGTCAAACAAATTGGCCAATGCTATATATGCGGGGGAATATCTTTAAAACTTCTGACTGAATAATGATTTTGACCAAATTATTTTAGCAAGAATGTTCCACCGATAATTTCTTTGCCATATCATATTTGTGTTTCTCTCCAAAATCTAGAGTAATTGCACTTTATTGAAAGATTCAAATACTGAAAAGAACTTAACATAGAACAGGTTTGGAATGTACATTAAAGGAATCTTTTTTTAGATTAAAAGTTACTACTATCTAATGAAAATAACACTTTAAAAATTCGTGCATCCGAATCTCTTTTCATGACTGACCTTCAATAAGAACGTCCAAACCCAATCAATTGAAAGCCAAAGATTTATAAATACCCGGATACGTGAAGAGCTTTATGATCGAATGGACATTTAAAGCATAGCCGAGTCCCGTTAAGGTAAACTTGGACTGATCGAATTTAGGAACATTTTTATTTATTGCGTACGAAATATAGATGTTCTTCATTTGTTTCCTCACATCAACTAAAATGGCTGTATTTACTGAATTTGTCATATGAGTACATAACGAATTTTCATTTTATTGAAAGCATTTTAAAATAAAAATTGTTGTTTCACAGATCTATCGATTTCTGATTAAATATATCTTTATTATCCTCGTGACAATCCTAAATTTCCTACACCAGTCGATACCGATAGTCATGTGCACCTGTTTGAAAATCCAATGTCATTCGATTGGTCGCTTTAATATAAAATTCCTCACATTGCAGATATCTAATAGTTGTTACAATCTGGTTGCTTCCCTAATTTTCTTCATTGTTTAACATGAGTTATTACGTCCTACTTGGTCGATGGACATTTAGAATTGTCAATTTGTGGGAGTTGTTTTCTTCTGACTAAAGCTCTTGGGAAAATGTCCCTAACAAGTTGACAGTTCTGAACGTCAATTTCTTAAGAAAACAAAAATAAATTATTAATGACTTTTACCACTATCTTACGATTTCCCCCCTCTATTATCATGATTATCAGGCAAAAGTATTTTCCTAAAAAGAAGGCACAGATTCCGTTATAAGCTAAATCGTTAAGGTTACATGATACGGAATGACGTTGCGCCACGAGTTATCGTTCCTGCTGTTGTCGACATCCATGAAATTGACGGCAAACGTAAAACCTGTTATTTGACATTAATTGCTTCAATCGTCTTTATCCCTTTCTTCTTTTCATTCTTTACATTTAATCATAATTATATATGTTTTAAATGTTCTGTATCTATTAGTAAGTAAGCATGTTTACGGTTTATCTATATATTATATGTTCTTATCCCGAATAGACTGAGTTTTTTTTATTCTTGGTTGAGTTTTTTTGCAACAATTCTTATTTATGATGCACGCCGTTTCCCCGATGATTTTTTTATACGACCGCAAAAATTGAAAATTTTTTGGTCGTATATTGGTATGACGTTGGCGTCGTCGTCGTCGTCGTCGTCGTCGTCGTCCGGCGTCGTCTGGCGTCGTCCGAAGACACATTGGTTTTCGTACTCTAACTTTAGTTTAAGTGAATGGATCTCCATAAAATTTTACCATAAGGTTCAATACCACGAAAGGAAGGTTGGGATTGATTTTGGGGGTTATGGTACCAACAGTTAAGGAATTAGGGGCCAAAAAGGGGCCAAAAATAAGCATGTTTGTAACTTCCAGACAATAACTTGTGTGTAAGTGTATGGATCTCTCTGACATTGTACCACAAGGTTCCATATCACAAAGGGAAGGCTGTAATTGATTTTGGGGGTAATTGCCTGAAAATTTTAGGAATTAGGGGCCAAAAAAGGGGCAAAAAACAAGCATTTTTCTAGTTTCATGACAATAACTTGTGTGTAAGTGTTTGGATATTTCTGAAATTGTACTATAAGGTTCCATATCACAAAGGGAAAGCTGGAATTGAGTTTGGGGGTAATTGCCCTAAACGTTTAGGAATTGGGGGCCAAAAAGGGGCCAAAAATAAGCATTTTTCTAGTTTCCAGACAATAACTTGTGTATGGATCTCTCTGAAATTGTACTGCAAGGTACCATACCACAAAGGGAAGGCTGGGATTGAGTTTGGGGGTGATGAATCATAAGGGGGTTCAAAAAATTTGGGGGGGGGGGGGGGTTTCTTTTTTTTTCTTTTTTTCCTTTTTTTTTTTCTTTTAAAATTTTCCATTTTAAGTTGGTTATTTCTGATTTATATTTAAAAGCAAATAATAATGATATGGTAGGAGATACACACCAAACAGGATGTGTAATTTATTATATAATAAGTATTGTGCAATAGCAAGAAATTTTCAATTCCACAGTATTGCACAATAGCAAGAAATCTTCAATTGCACAGTATTGCGCAATAGCAAGAAATCTTCAATTGCACAGTATTGCGCAATAGCAAGAAATATCCAATAGCACAATATTGCGCAATAGCAAGAAATTGTCAATTGTACAGTATTGCGCAATAGCAAGAAATATTCAATTGCACAGTATTGTGCAAAAGAAGATACTTCGTATAAATTGCTTATTTCTTGATCAATTTCAATGGGGTTTTATTCTTGAATTCTTGGGGTTCTTTAATATGCTGAATCTAACCGTGTATTAAGTTTTTGGATTTTGGGCCCCGTTTTTAAATTGGTCCACATTGAGGTCCAAAGGGTCCAAAATTTAACTTTGTTTGATTTCATCAAAAATTGAATTATTGGGGTTCTTTGATATGCCGAATCTAACCGTGTATTTAGATTCTTAATTTTTGGTTCCGTTTTCAAATTGGTCTACATTAAGGTCCAAAGGTTCCAAAATTAAACTTAGTTTGATTTTAACAAAAATTGAATTTTTAGGGTTCTTTGATATGCTGAATCTAAACATGTATTTAGATTTTTGATTATGGGCCCAGTTTTCAAGTTGGTCCAAATCGGGGTCCAAAATTAAACTTTGTTTGATTTCAACAAAAATTGAATATGTGGGGTTCTTTGATATGCTGAATCTAACCATGTATTTAGATTTTTGATTTTTGGGCCCCCTTATCAACTTTGTCCACATTGAGGTCAAAAGGGTCTAAAATAAAACTTTGTTTGATTTCATCAAAAATTGAATTCTTGGGGTTCTTTGATATGCTGAATCTAACCATTTATTTAGATTTTGGATATTGGACCATAATAGGTGAATGTCCAATTTAAAATTTTTAAGTTCTTAGACCACATTCATTCTGTGTCAGAAACCTATGCTGTGTCAAATATTTAATCACAATCCAAATTCAGAGCTGTATCAAGCTTGAATGTTGTGTCCATACTTGCCCCAACTGTTCAGGGTTTGACCTCTGCGGTCGTATCAAGCTGCGCCCTGCGGAGCATTTTATTTTAAGTAGAAATCCAAATTATAGAAACGCAAGATAATGTGTGAAAATACGGGGAATTGTGCCACTATTAGTGCAATTTCGTTAAGAAACCCATAAGTTTTAAAATGGTTGCCGAAAAACGCTGCTAGCAATGGTTAGTTGGAATGAAATACACAAAGAAGAATAATTGAACTTGGTTATTTGGCCGGACAACTTTTCCTATGTTCCAAGTATTACAAGTTTCTGAAAATTATTGGACTGTACAGAAGAAATCCGATATGGTTTCGGAAGCTTGTAAAAAATAAATTGCCAGCATTGTAGTCGTATGAGCGCAGTCTACACAGGACTGCAACATCGGAATGAGGAAAAAGGTAACAAAGGCTTGAAAATATGGGATGTCAACACGGTGGAACGAAATAAAATCAAATCATTCAGATCCCCTTACATACTTTTTTCAATTCCATTTCGTAACAAATTATTTCTCGAAATTTACAATCACACGATTCATTAAAAAACATGTGACCCCACATTAAATGAATAGTCGGTGCTTTGATGAAGGTAAACCCAGAAAATCGCTTCGAACGCAAACAAATTACAAAGAGATATTTTGGTTAACCTATATTAACAAACTGAAAAAACCAATGAGATTTTAAAATTATTTTGATTTTAGATTCCTGTTAATTTACGCTTGGGTGTAGAGGAAAGGATGAGTTTTGTTGTGAGAGTTGGACATTATGTACAAGTACCATTTCATAAAGTGGTGTGACAAAACGACTCACAAACTATTAACAAAGGTGTCTTTTTGGGGAGGGGCACATTGCTGACATGAGCGTCGAAAAAAGTCCGAGGGTATATGCAACCTTTTAAGGAGATTTAATAACAAGTACCTATACAAGTATATTCACCTCAAAAGCTAACAAAACCTTTAAACAGACTTATTAAGAAGGGATATAGTTACGATACTGTTGTCAGGTCATTAAAGATTGCATATTTTGGCTTTAATATTGATTCACTTATAGGGTCTTTGCATCGGAATTAAACATATTTATTCTAAAACCAGTTGTTGGCATGACACGGGTTATGTTCTTCTCATATATTTTATGATGGTATAATACTAAACCCCTAACAGGAGGGATTGTGCCTGATATTCATATGATGAAGACATAATCTTTCAATCAGTTAAATTGAGGTCTGGAGCTGGCATGTCAGTAACTGCTAGTAGTCTGTTGTTATTTATGTATTATTGTCATTTTGTTTCCTATTCTGACATCGGACTCGGACTTCTCTTAAACTGAGTTTTACTGTGCGTACTGTTGTGCGTTTGTTTTTTCTACATTGGCTAGAGGTATAGGGGGAGGGTTGAAATCTCAAAAAACATGTTTAACCCCGCCGCATTTTTTGCGCCTGTCCCAAGTCAGGAGCCTCTGGCCTTTGTTAGTCTTGTATCATTTTTAATTTTAGTTTCTTGTGTATAATTTGGAGTTTAGTATGACGTCCATTATCACTTAACTAGTATACATATTTGTTTAGGGGCCAGCTGAAGGACGCCTCCGGGTGCGGGAATTTCTCGCTGCATTGAAGACCCATTGGTGGCCTTCGCCTGTTGTCTGCTCTATGGTCGGGTTGTTGTCTCTTTGCCACATTCCCCATTTCCATTCTCAATTTTATGTATATTAAATAAAGTGTTGGTATTTCTTTGTGTGCATAAATGGAGATGTGGGAAATACAATAAGACAGCAACTGGCCAATTAACGACACACAAAACCAAAGACATCTAGATATTAACACGTGACAAATGCAGGATGGACGAGTATTTTTTTTCATGCTAATTCGTAGATTTAGTAAAGATTCTTTGCTCCCTTGAATTTGAAAGTTAATAAGTATATTTACTATAGCAAGTATAAAATATATCAAATTATAACACCACGTGTTCACAACATTAGTCAGATATTAATTATAATAGTAACATATGTCAGACTCGTAGTACATATTTGTTAGTCTTTAAACTTCTTGTATTTCAGAAGAAAGTGTCAAACCATTATGAAATAATGAGATGTAGTATAATTGCCAATGAGACAACTTTCCATCAAAGACAAAATGATGTAGATTTTAGCTTGCTTACATTGCTACATTTGAGATTTCCCAATTACATTCAATTATTAACTGCTTATTCAAAAAGATATTTTGTCACCAAATGCCTGATAAAATTGAACATCATCATATACGCTTAATATATATTTTGCTCCCTCGACAAAATGCCGGGAGCATACTGTTTTACCCATGTCCGTTTGACCGCCCGTCCCTCATTTGGTATATAGCTAAAGGTTTATACGGGTTTTTTTCTTAGGACTATAGTTTTTAAGCTTCAAATTTAAATTACGTACCTGGTGTTAGTATATATATATATACCAAAGGTGCACATATTGTCAAGATTTTTTTTGTTTGCTTTTTTTTAAATGACAGGTTGCTAAAT